CTAGGTGGTACAAGACCAAATTCTAAGTCATTGTGTACCTGCTATCATGTCATTCATGTCTAAAAGTTGAATGATTTACCTCAAAGCAGCTTTTGATGGTAAACTTTCAATTTTAAGCTTATTTCTGGGATTTTCACTAACTTACAGTAATTGTTAACCTTCTCTCCCCCTTTGGCACTCATACCAACCACTTAGCTCTTACAAAAATCCCACAAAGTATTATCTTTATTTTATGAATGAGAAATACCAGAGTTCAGAAAGCCTAGGTGTTTTGTCTAAGGGTATACAGCCAGTGTGTTTCTACCAAGTGTCCCATGTCAGGCATACAAAGATGCTTAGAGCTTGAGAAGGACTCACCAAAATTTACCATAATACTAACCCTACAACCTCCAATTAACCCAAGACTCCCTGAACCCTGTATGCCACATCTGCACTGTTGAGATATTGGGACGTCTCCTGTTCACCTCCTCCAGAGTCGTGTTAACTCAGAAAATGAATTTGAAGAGCCCAGGGAAAGATATGTTATGCAGTCCTGTGTGCCAGGCTCTGCACTAAGCACTTTACATGAACTATTTCATTTAATCTTCTCAACAGCCCTATGAAGTATTTATTAATAGCTGAATTTTACAAGATAGAAAAACTGAGGCTCTGAGAGGTTGAGTAACTTGCCCCAAATTCCATAGTTGAAAAGGCTTCTTAGGTATCAGACTCCAGGTCTGCATGATTCCACTCCTCTTTATCATGTTAGAGAGAGGAAGAGTATATAAATGGAAACTTGGCCTATCAAGGAATTACAAGCTATTCTTTTCCATAACGTTTGGTAGTTACAGGAGTGTTAGGCTTATTCAATTAAAATATTTTAAGTGTAAATATCTGGAATATGATTGCATGACATTGATTTTTGATTGCTGTATAAATATCTTAATAACCAAGCACCCTTTGGTACAAGATGTTCAGCAGCTAGTCAGCTCTAGACTTTATAGCAGGGACTGGCAAATGACAGGCCAATCCTACACACTGCTTGGTCTTGTAAGGCCCACAAGCTAAGAATGTTTTCTACATTTTTTAATGGTTAAAAAAAATCAAAAGAATATTTCATGACATGTGAAAAGTACATGAAACTAAAATGTCAAGGCCCACAAATAAAAGTTTTATTAGAACACAACCAGGCTCATTTGTTTATATGTTACCTATGGACGATTTTGTGTTACAACAGCGTAGAGTTGAGAAGTTGTGACAGAAACTGTATGATCTGCAAAGTCTAAGATAGTTACTATCTGGCCTTTTACAGAAAAAGTTTGCTGATCCCTGTTCTATAGCATTTACACATTCATGCATGATTTGAGCTTCCGGACTTTTTCTAAGAAGTTCTGAAAACATTTTAACTTATTTTTCCCAGAAAGAACACTAAGGCAGTCTTCCTCTGAAAAAATGCTGTTAGCCTGGGATGATGTGAAGTGACACCAATGTGTTATGGTACCAGCGACTAGTGGTCCAGCTTGAAAGCCTCCCTCCCTCATTTTAAATACCTTAGCGTTATCTCTAGATGGTAAAGCTGGGTCTTACTACTCAACCTGTCCTTCCGTTACTCATCTTGACTGCGTTATGGGTTTAGTTTCACAACATTATGAGTTCACCCAGGCTTCTTGAATCATTTATAGGGATTTTCATTTTTGCTCTCAAACCCTTCTACACTCTCTGCTGTGAACTTTTTTTTAACATAAAGCTCAGACTACTAAATGGCCTACACATGTACAATAAAGTCCATACTTTATTTTTTTTAAAAATCAGAATTTTTAGAAAAATGCGTTTTCTTGAGAAGCTAAACTTAATTTTTGCAGATCACAGAAGTAAGAAAATACCTTCATATCCGGTGATCTCAAAGCACCTCTGGTGAAAATACACAAGGTAAAGAACGTCTATTTTTAACTACTATTTCTTGGAGAAGATATTATTTAATGGAAAAGATGTGACTAGTAACAAATAAAGTCCAAGGCTATTTCTGGTCTGCCAATGACTCACTTTGACTTTGGGCAAATCATCTCACCACTGTTGCTCTTTATCTGCAAAAACTGGACTTCATGCCTATGGGAGTTGCATGGCTAATCAATGCCTGGAAAATGCGTAGTGGCAGATGCTACAAAAGTGCTGAACCTTAAAAACAAAACCACTCCCACACCCCCATTTGTATTCAGTTGAGGTTGAGGTTTCTTGTTATTTAATGTTCGAAGGCTAACATTATATTAAGTCCAGCGTGCTGCACACAACAGATAATATCACTGTCCAGTAGGGCTTTTTTTTTTTAAATCTAGGATTTTTGACTTTTTTTCTCTATTGTGGTCGGAGGTTATTTTAGAATCCAGTAACAACACATCCATACAAAAACGTTAAGCTTCAAGTTGAAAACTATCGATTTAAAAACCTAAATAAAACCCCCTCCAAAAAAAAAAAAAAAAAAAAAAAAAAAACCCCCCCCCCCCCCCCAAAGCCCTCCCCCGCCCCGCTAAGAAATCTCTCAAAACAAGAATTCTTCTGATGTTTTCTCCTCCCTGCAGTTCTCCATGTTCCAGTCCTTGGAGGTAGACTAGGCATAAAATACTTTCACTAATGAAATATGACAAACCGCCGGATTATACGTGGCCGATTCCCAGTGATTGCCCTGCTACACAAAGCAGAAAAGTAAATGCCATCATCCCCCTTAGAACAAAAGAACTTAGGAATAAAAAACATGGAGAGGGGGGAGAAAGCAGCAATAAATAAAGGTGAGCGAAGGACCCCGTCCCCAGCCCCTCCCCGAAGCGAGTGTGGCACTAAGTACGGCTAATAAAGTGGTTCAAGGGTAGTTATTTGGGAAGGGGGCGGGGTGGCGAGGGGAGGGAGCGGGCGAGCGGCGGCCGGGGATTGCATGTTGCATTCGACTTGAGGTTGCATCTTTCTCCTGTTGCCTGGACCACGCTCCCCCATTGCAGTGCTTCCCCATTGCTCCTCCTCGCTCCTGCCCTCGCGGCTTTTTTTTCCCCCCTTAAAACTGCTGTTGCACTGGAGGGAGTTGGGGCCGCTCCGGAGCCCCTTTGCAGCTCCCGCCGGCGGGAGGGGGGAGTTGGGTTTGGGCCGCGGAGGTCGGGGGGGGG